TACCTAATCAGACAGGTAATCATTAGGGTTCATTAATCATTCCATGCCTTAGGAAGGGGTTCAGGGTCTCGAGCTACCATGCCTCCCAACATTATTTGGTTCGGCAAGAGAGGGAAGGCTCCGTCTAGGGCAAGGTGCGAGTGGAAGAATATTAGGCTTGCGTTCCGTTCAACTTCATAGGAAGAAGGCAAGCCTGGGAAGATCTTGGATATCTGCACATAATACGCACACTATTAGTTTGGTGAAATTAAAAGATCATAATTAACATATTGAGAAGAAGGCATAGAGTAGTGACTTCCAAACTTTAGGCTAAAAATACACAAGGTCTAGACGACACATACCCGAAGTTTGGTGTGTGTGTGGGGGGGGGAGGGCTGGTTTCATGGAGGAAAATGAAAGTAAAGCCAATTCCGATTTAGATAATAAAAATTCAAAACTATACATATTGTTCAGTGTTCACCAAAAATAGTAGGAAGACGATGGTCAAAAAAGGAGTAGCAAATTTATGACAACCTAAACGCATAACTGAACTTCAGTGACCTGGAGAGCATTGATATCAAGCGTTTGTATTTTACATTACACTTTAGTGCGGGGATTTACAGTTAAGACTGTAAATCCGACCTCGTGATTTACAGGCAAGCGTGGTGGGTTAGTTGGGTCCTCAACTTGGAGGCAAATATCACGAATAGAAGAGACTTGAATCCCGATGAGTCAGAATCTTCAAATTGCATTCGATGCCCTTCTAATGTACTCATATAAAATTAAACATAACCGAAAGTTCTTAGTCTGATATAGAAACATGATTAAATTTGCCTCACCGCGTCTTCAGCTGGCGACCTGACACTCCAAAGCCAAATGTAGGCGTAGCCAAGGGTAACCAAAATATTCTTGACTCGGCTTAGGAAGGAGTAGGGTTTAGGGTAATCTGTGACGCCGTTTGACACCGCAGCAGGGTTAAAGACGTTACCCTGGTAAGCACTCAGCAAGGAGGTGAGATACGACGCGGTAAACAAGATGTGAGTCATATTCACCATCAAGGGGTAGGTAACCTGCACCATAGAGAATAATATATTGGGACCATTTGTATATTTTACAAAAGAAAGACTGAAATAGCCATTTAACGATCGCACATAAAATAGCGCAAAAATTCAAATTTATGAGCTTCATACAAAAATTACGGTCGATTCTTGCATAATTCAAACTAATTCGAAATTTACCAAAAAAGCAAACTGGTCAGAGATGACGAGGTCGAACTCGTTCTTTTTGGCAATGATATTTTTCACGGCCGGGTCATCGTAGAGCTTCGTAGCTAAGTGGCTGGTGAAATTAGCGATGTCTCTGACGCATTTTGCAGTTTCGTAAGTATTTCTGAAATGATCCATGTTGAAAAAATCGTCCAAATCATATTTGTAGTCGTAGTACGAGACGTTAGGATGCCGTTGACTGAGATAGACGTGACTCAGTACGGAGACCTGTAAGTTCAAGTTGCGTTTACTACACACGAGAAACAGCTTTAAAATACAATCATATTTATAGGATGATAATGTACTTTCGGTTATAAGCATTATTTGATTACCGAGTTTTAGTCACCTTCAATTACGATATAGGTCTTTTTCAACACCGGCATTTCCATAAAACTCCCTGATTGATCGTACGTATTCAGACTTACTCTTTAGGGATATTCACTTTGTAGAAATTATTTTTAATTAAACACAAAAATTGGTAATTTGAGATAGATGTGATAGATATTAAAGCTTATTTTATCCATTAAGTGAGGTGTGGCCTGGCACTGCTGCTTCCCAAACGCTTACTAAGGATGCCAAGGACCGAAGCAAACGTAAATTTCTTAACAGACCGAAAATACTTCAAATCAAATATTTCGCTGCCCTGCATACCTGCGTCAAAACATATCGTATTATTTTATTTTTGAAAAGTTTTTTTAAACTTTATGACACCAGCTGTCGGCGCACTGGCCCACCTCGTGTCCTCTCTCCGCCAAGGTTGATATCAAAGGCTGTAGGATGGCATAGTGGCTCTTGAACACGGACATACCACCAACAGCATCGCCTGGAGTGAAAAATTATATTGGAGAGTTTAAATTACTTGTAGTATTCGCTGACAGGTAACATATTAGAGTACGGTGAAATGCAACGTATTAGAATTCGGTGATATGTAACGTATTAGAATACGGTGAGATGTGACGTATTAGTATGCAGTGGGAGGTAACGAATTAGTACACGGTGAGAGGTAATGTATTAGTACACGGTGAGAGGTAATGTATTAGTACACGGTGAAAGGTAACGTATTAGTATATTGTGGGAGGTAACGTATTAGTATACGGTGAGATGTGACGTATTAGTATGCGGTGGGAGGTAACGTATTAGTACACGGTGAGAGGTAATGTATTAGTACACGGTGAGAGGTAACGTATTAGTATACTCTGAGAGGTAGCGTATTAGTATGCGGTGAGAGGTAACGTATTAAGATAAGGTGAATAATTCGATACATTCAGTTGAGATTTGCCTTTCGATATTTTGATGACGGGCTTTGTGTCGATCACAGTATGTGAATTTAAATTTTATTTACACGATTCATTGGATAAACTTGATTCTTCATATGCGGTTGTGAGAAGATGCTTCTCGCTCTTCTTTGATAGCACTCTTCACTGTCTCCACGCACAATTGATGGAACTCTTCACTGTCTCCACGCACAATTGATGGAACTCTTCACTGTCTAAACGCGCAATTGATTGACTCTTCACTGTCCACACGCACCATTGATAGCACTCTGCACTCTCTCCATGCACTTTTGACAGCACTCTTCACTGTCTCCACGCACCATTGATACCACTCCTAATTGCAAATACCTTCTATTATTTGCCCCCGTCATTTTTTTATTATTCATTCATCATTGTTCATCATTCATTCATCACTTCTCTGTTTAAACACTCCTCATTGCGTATACTTTTCACAGTATGCGCTCATCATTGCTTAAACACACAATTTTTTTAAGTTCCAGCATTGTCTACAGGCTATGGCGCAGTTAATGGTATATTCTACACTATTGAAACGTTTTAGTGCTTATTGATTCCATTATCCATTATTCTCTGTTATCCGCATAACACGCGTGCCCTGAAGTTACACGTGTATATTAATATAGTGTACTTCACATTACACGCGTGCCCTGAAGTTGCACGTGTATATTAATATTCTTGTACTGCGCATAACGCGCGTGCCCTGAAGTTACACGTGTATATTATATTCTTGTACTTCGCATAACGCGCGTGCCCTGAAGTTACACGTGTATATTATATTCTTGTACTTATTTTATCATTTTTAAACGAAATATATGCAATTGCGGTAAAGGGACCAAGGGTGGGCGCCTTGCCCCAAGCCCATGGGCCCATTGCCCCAGGGGTGGGGCAATGGGCCCATTTTGACACTTTTTACAAAAATAGATTTTCATCAAAAATTAAATAACTCTATATGCGTCTAATTCATTATACATTCCCCATTAGTTGTACCTTTAAACAAAACAAAGAACTACCTCGTATCAATTAAAAGTTCATCTTAAATTTAGTTTAAAAAAAAGGGGGGGGGGCGCTGCCTCATGTTGCCCTACGCATCGATAATACTAATATGTTTTCTGGAACTTTCTTCTTGAAAAGTAAACTATTGAAGACATAGAAATATCAGACGGCAAAAATAAATGGACTGGCCATGACATACGCCTTGCTCATCTCAGAAATGCATTTTTTGTTATAGGTATACATCTCGAGCGTTCTTTATTTTAACTACCTTGTCGGATCGGCTAATATTTATGTTTATTATTGCGACTTATGTAAGTCCTCGATATAATGTTACGGTAGGTATATTGTCGGCGTCATTCACGAGCGACAATCTATTTAAAAAACCTACACAACAATACTGTATATTTATTCACATTAACCTGTTTTTTAAATCTCTGGTCTCAGTATGTTCTTATATTTGATGTCGTTATAAGTTTGCGAACTTGAGAAATATCACAAACTCAGGCAAAAAAAGTGAACAACCGTACAGGCCATCTTTCGAGTTTTGGATTGCAGAAAAAAATTGCTCCAAGAACTATCATCAAAAATTGGCCGCCGAATACCACTGAATTGTGAAGCGTTAGAGTTTTTTTCAGATGGCCTAATAAATAATATGCGTTTAAAAATTACATTTTAGAGACAACACTTCTCAAGATTCCAGTGTCTCCTATGTTACACATGTACAATGATGTTCTAATTTATTTTCATCTATTAAAAAAATATAATTTTTCATTTTTGTTTATATTAAACAAAATTAAATGTTCGAAATGATTTATTCTGTCGATTGATTCATGCATTGTCTCCGACTTTACGTAGGTGTGCAAATTTTCAGATAGATTGGACAGGTAGAAGTGTGTTAGATATCGATTATAAGATTTGTAGCAGACAGACGAGAAGTGAAGTTAAAGAGAAGTGTAGTAAAAAGTTAACATTTCTCGCATCCATGACATTTTGGACCACTGAGGGAAGAAAAACTCATCCGCCCATCTCGAACTTAGGTGCTTGCTTCACTTTTTCCGTAACGGATTTTGTTGATATTAATTAAGAAGACGTACTAATACAAATGAAATCATTTATGATTATATTGAAACCATGATGGTGGCCCATACCAAGGAAAACCATTATTTTCTACACATTGACTGTACTTCGGACAACAAGTGTTGAAATACAGCGATAAGCAGGGCTTATATGTGAAACAAAAATTTACACAGAAGACACTTTGCGGTCGAGACTCTGCATGAGTTCAGTAATCAAGCCTGCATGATTTTCCACTATCACGTTAGATGCGTAGATTAACAGGCCCCTACTTCGCATAACCCACGTGCCCTGAAGTTACACGTGTATATATTAGTATTCCTGTACTTCGCATAACGTACGTGAAGCGCCAGCGAGCAAATCGCTTGCAAAGACAATTTTTTACTATGAGGCTCCAGCCAGTCTATAACAATAATAAGTTGCTTTAATGATCGTTGCTATAGACATCCATAAACTATATTGTACTTTTCATTGCTTCACTTGAAGCCAGATCTTAGTTCATCTGGAGCTACATGCGCGCGCATTTGCCCCTAAGCAACCTGACTAATGAAAAAATTCGCCATCTCTCAAATCGTCCTGATAACCTTCGTTGAAGACATCAATCAAGCATGTGGCGGCCCTTTATTAATCAAGTAAGTACCAGCCATTAATGAAGCAAGTACCACAACTCATCTCGATCGTGGTACGCGAGATCAAAATTACGACATAGCAAAAAATGCACTTGAGATTTTAGTTGTTATTCATTAGTATCATACGCTCCTCAAGGACTCGGATCTTGCGAATCCTTGGGACGACATCAAAAACAAGCGGAGCAACTTTTCCCACTGAACCTTGCGAGGGCATTTTTTGTCTTTAGACTTAAACGGGGGCGCTGCTGAGAGCAATTAAACAGAGAGTGTTGCCGAATGTCAAGCGCAAAGTTCTTAATTAATTATCTAAGATACGCTAGCTAAGCTACTTAAAAGCTTTTTTTTTCATACGACAAGGCATACGTTAATAATTATTTAAGAAGGGATAATAAATCCATATTTTGCCAATAGTTATGAATATAAATGATTAGATAAATGTTTTGCAAATAATTGCGAAAATTATAGTCTAAAAAGGTAAGTTTTATCTGGACTCATATAAGGATGTCAGTGCTAGAATCACCTTGACTAGATGGTCAGGATGATTAAGAATCAGCAACAAGGCAACGACTTAATTAATTAGAAAGCTGCCACCATAATTTTATATTATTATATTCTAAGCATATATATAGGAGTCTACGCTCAGCAGCATGTCACTGTCATGCCCAAAACAACTAATATGACATTGGAAGTCTTACGTTAGTAAACGCATGGTGTCCAAACGGAATGGAACATGAGTATCATGATAATGGCAAGAAAATAACATTTAGTTCTATAAACAAGCTTCTACAGTGGCATAACTGAAACTAATAACAGTGCCATACCTTTGGAAAATAGCAGCAAATTATCGCACTAGTATATATGGGGGTTCAGTTGAACAGTATAACGGCGTCTTGATCAAGGAGACAAATAGAACATTCAAGTTCTAGCACTAACATCCGTAGGAGTCCAGCTTAATGACATTACAGCTTTTTTGTTGAAACTTGATTTTATTACCTAATAACGGTCAAAAATTGTAGTCTACTATAATGCAGTTTTTAAAACAATATTCTAGTCATTTGTGGTCCCATCACTCATTTATTTAATGTCTAATAATTGCTATTGTCCGAATAGATCGATAATACAAAAGAAATTATCTGAATTTGTCAAGTCTCTGTTCAGAATGCATTCATGTTGGATGGTCAGCAAAAATTTGTTAAGTCTCTTTCTTAAATACATACATGACGGATAATCATATTAAATTTGTCAAGTCTCTTTCTTAAATACCTTTATGCCACAAAATTAGCATAAATTTGTCAAGTCTTAAATACCTTTAATATTTCTTTTTCTTAAATACCTTAAAGTCGGATAATAAGCATAAATTTGTCAAGTCTCTTTCCTAAATACCTCTATGCCATATAATCGGCATACATTTGTCAAGTCTTAAATACCTTTAATATATGTCTTTCTTAAATACCTTCATGTCGGATAATCATTATAAATTTCTCAAGTCTCTTTCTTAAATACCTTTATGCCATATAATTAACATAAATTGTCAAGTATTAAATACCTTTATTATTTGTCTTTCTTAAATACAGTACCTTCATGTCGGATGGTCTGTAAGCACAAACTGTTACTCCAGAGCGTGGCAAACGACCACCGCCAGACGAGAGACGCTCAGCTCGACTGCTGCACGCTCTACAATCTACATCTACTAAACCCGCAGGTATTCGCGGAAAATTTTTTATCCAACACATTGACCTTCGTTAAGCATGAGATATGCGAGGCTACTTGAAAGTAATATTAGTCTATTTAACACTATACTTTTATTTCCGGCATTAG